ACTTAACCTCTCTGAGCCCCTGTGTTCTCATATGGTAAACTCAAGTAATACCTAACTCGGGTTTTGTGAGGCTCCAGTGAGCCAAAGGCAATATGATGATGATGGTGATGATGATTTGTCTGCATAGGAATCAATCCCTTGGTATAAACTACAATTGTGGGTATTGTCAGGAAGTTAGGGGCCAGCTCCAGAGTCAGAGGGAATGTGAACAAGTCTTTGAAAGCCTTCCCCATGGCTGAGCAAACATTCCCAGCAAGAGCTATTACTCAGGGGGAAAAGGGAATTAATATTTGCTAACTACCTACATCCATTTGTTCCTTCCATTCCTGTGAGGTGAGTGTTAGTGTACCCACTTACCTGCTGGGTGACCAGTAAGCAAACCCTTCAGAGACAGTCTCTTCTGTAAAATGCAACATTCCCTGACTCAAGATTGCTGAAGCCTTTGGTGGACATTGACCACGTATGGCTGTCCAGCATCCAGATACTTTGCCTATTTGGAGGAATTCCAAGCTATATGGAAGCTGAGGGGGGCAGCAACTCTTCCCCTGACCACGTGGGTCTGGCCTGGGCCGAGTCTATTCCCCCCCCCACCCCCCAGGGCTTTGAGTCCAGTGGGAGTTAGGCAGAGAGGTGAGGACAGAGATTATGTCAAGAGGCTGCAGTGGGGACAAGAGACCAGCAGGGCAGTGGTGAGTAGCACGTGGCCGCGTAGCATGAAGTGGAGTCTGTCCTAAACAGACAGATCCTGCGGAGGACTTTGGCTATGCCCAGCTACTCCTGATTTCTGTCTGGCTCTCTAGTCTCCTCATCATTTCAGTGAGCCATCCAGCAGCCTTCCAGTAAAGTTCCTTTTTGCTTAGTTTTGCCAGAGATGGTTTCGGTTGTTTGCAGCTGAGAATCCTGACTGGTATAGAGTAAACCATGTAACATGCCAGACACAGTGCCCAGCATATACTAAGCACTCAAAAAACCACACACACGCATGCATGCATGCAGAAACAGGTTCAGAAAAGTAAAATGACCTGCCTGAGGTCACATAGCTAGGTGGTGGTGCTGGTATGGGGCTGACCATGAACGTTTGGCCATGAACGTTGTAGTGGTATATTGTATTTAGATATCACTTTCATCACAACACATCATTTTTTAACAATTTACCAATTTACTGTTGACACATTGGTTCAGAAGCTTCAGAACACCCTGTGAGGCTCACAGGGCCAGAATATTCTCTTTAGACAGAGAAAAAGGTATTAGCTCAATGTAACCCTGTTAACAGTCATGGCTTGGGAGCCAGGTCTGAAGCCTACAGCCCAGGGCTAGTGTCCTGGTGTTGTCCACACGTATAAGCTCACATGTACCCACACTGCTGCAGCTAGTGAAGCGGCCCCATCTAAATACGTGGGTACCTGCTGCATTAGCGACCTGGGGTGAGTCAGCAGCTGCCCGTGAGGCCACTGGGGAGGAACACCATGTACCAGAACCTGCAGAAAGGAATGCTCCTGTAGCTGCTATGCTAATGGGTGTGGGGGGATTGGGGGATGGTGCTTGGAGTATGGGATAAGGGGGGTGACAGGTGGAGTCATCCTAAATGGGGGCCTCCTCTGTTGGGCCTAATAATTAAGGGAGGTTTTGATTCCTGCAGTGTTGGCAAAGTGATTTAATTGGGCCTAATGTGAGACTATGTGTGACGAATATGGATAATACAGGTGATGAGGCCCCAAGGAAAGCTGGCTGGAGGAAGGGTAGGAGCTGAAGACAGGTCTGATGGGAATTAGGCTATGGTTCCATGGGTGAGCCCAGACAGGCAGCAGGGACAGCTGCTCCTCCCCGGGGGCCTAGAATGCTGACCTGGGTCTTCACCCTCCCTGGCCTTCAGACCTTGCCTTCACACTTGCATGGAATCAGAGAATGTCAGACTCACAGGGTTCTGGGATTAGAATCAGGTTTAGGATTCTAGAATCTAGACCTTTAGCATCACACATGTTAATCATAGAAAACTTCGGAATCTAACAATCTGACAATAGGAGGCCCTTGGGAAAAAATTTAGATCTTTCTCCAGCCTTCATTTAATAACAATAAATAACATGTGTTGAGCTTATCACAACTTCCAAAGTACTTTCACATCTGCACAGCCATCACACAGAAGGGGGTGGTATTCCACTTTCAGGTTGAGTAATGTGCAGAAGATGATCCAAATGAGCAGGTTGGGACTGGAATCCAGCTTTGCAGGATAAATTCTATTTTCCATATGCCAAGGTTTTGATACCCTTGTCCTTTAGAGTTATAGAAACACTTTTAACTGCTTGGCATACATAATGTGTCCAAATTCTCAGACGTTTGTTGTGTAAACTCTGCATGGTCCTATACTGTTTTTCTTAGTGCATTCTGGAAAATTGCAATGCTCTAAGATGTGATTATCTTTGTTGCATCAGCATAATCAGGGCGGGCACATTCTGCAATAGCTTTTTGGCAGGTTTTACAATCCAGCACTATTTCAGTTCACAAAGGACTTAACTTATGCAAGAATAGATTTGAAGTCACTAATGTAAAGACAGAACTTCAAGTCACTCCGCATTTAGTCAGAACCTGTTCTGAATTCCTTAGAACAAAAAGCTAAACTACCAAAAATGCGGAAAGAAGAAAAAAAGGAACAATAAGCCTCCTCGGGTAGGAGCGCGCCGCCACACAGGAGGGTGGTTGTGGTGAGGGCGACGGGCGCCTTGTGCAGCCTGGGGCAGGCCCCTCCCCTTCTCTGGGTCTCCGTTTTCCCCGATTTCATACCGGGATAATTCCTGTCCTCGGGAAGTTCGGGAGCTTATCAGCCCTGGGGAATCTGCAGCTGCGGGAGAAAGAGCTGGGAGAGATGGAGGAGGGGGAAGGGTTCCGAACAGCAGGGAGCCGCGAGGGGCTTACGGTCTCCATGGTAACACACGGCAGCCGGGAGAGAAGGCGGGGTTTGGGAACCCTGGGCTGGAGGTTTTGAAAATGAAGGTTTCACAAAGGAAGCTCCCTCCTCCTGGGAGAAAGGCCTCGTCCGAGATCCCTCTCTCCGCGCTAGCAGTGACTGCCGGGCGGTGATTCCTGCCCCCTGTTGCCCACGGGGAGAACGCGGCCCAGCCGGAGGACCCACGTTGGCAGCAAGTCACTGGCAGGGCCAGCATCTGAGCCCCGCTGTCCTGACCCCTAATCAGTGCCCCTCTCTGTACCAGAATGCTGTTTCTCTGAACCCTGGTTTCCCCAGTTGTATAATGAGACAGTTGAAAGGAATAGGTCTCTGAGGGCTCTTTGAGTTCTGACAGTGTTCGATGAAACTTAGCAAACACACTGGAGATGGCGAATGCTAAGATGAGGATCATGTGAGGGGTGGGCATTGTCTGATTTGTCTCTGGATCCCCCACCCCAACAAATGGGGAGGCAGAGTGGACATAGGTATTTGGGGAACGAATATTTATGTGGAAGGACACATTCATTCTTTGGTTCCACAAGGTTTAAAGAGCACCTACTATGTGGCAGGCATTGTGATAGCTCAGAGAAAGGCTCAGTCACCGAGGACTGGAGTGTTCCGGAAGCTTTGTTGGAGAAGGAAGTGTGGGGCAAGGAAAACGGGTGCTCAAGAGGGCAGAGATGAGGGAGAAGACTTCAGTGCCTTGAGCTGCCCAACTAAACGCACTGCTTTCATGTCCTGGGGCTTTCCAGACAAATACGACTTTTCCTCATCCTGTCTCCGGAAGGATGATGATTTCATTCTCAAGGTTCCTGCTGGGCAATGAGGTAGGCAGCCGAGCTAAGACCTTTTCTTGGAAAAATCCAAAAAGTTCTGTTGAAGAAGAGGGTGGGGCAGGTGGCCCCTGCTGGCTTCTCCTAGGAGGTCCCACTTTATTTATTTTTCTTTCCCCGTTGGCTTATTGGAGAGGTGTGTCAGGACCATGCCTCTCCCCACCTCTCACCTGGTGTGGCAAAAATGAACGCTGAACCAAGAATCAGAAACCTGGATTCAAATTCTGACTATTTCCAGCTCAGTGTGTGGCCTTCCACAGGCTGTTTTCTTTTCCTGGTCCTAGTTTGCTAAGAAAGATAGATGGATAGATAGGGATCTTCATAGTGATGTAGTAAGAATGAAATGGGAAAATGGCTGTGAAATCCTTCCTACCTCCTCACCAAAGTCATATTTATCATTTACTGTGAACCAGACATTTTACAAACATGATCTATAATCTGAGCAACAATCCTGGAGCGTTGGTATTTGTTATCCAAATTCAACACATAAGGAAACTGAGACTCTTCTGGAGAAGTGAAGAAATTTACCTAAGGCCATATAGCTAGGAAACTACAGGGTCAGGATCCAAACCCCAGTCTTTCTGATCAAAGTGTAACTTGAACAGCAGATTCCTTGGAATCTTCATTCCTCCACCAAATGGCATTATTGAGCATATACTGTGAGCTAGGTGGCAGCTGAGGATAGAATAAGGAATAAGAAATTATCATTCAGGATGTCAGAAGGAAATAGGAGGCATTCTCAAACTGGGTCATTTGTTAGTAATCATGTTAGAGCACTAGTTACTACCCTTAGGCGTAATGGAGCAGGGGAGGGAGCAATTACTAGAATCTGGACAAAGAGAGCTGTTGTAAGGGCTATGTGACAGGAATCCTATCCCTTGGTCCAGAGATGCACCCGTGGTGAACTTTCAGGGAGGAAGCTAGGGGGATATGTCTGCCGGGACTCCAGTTGGCCAAACCCTACCAGATTGCAGAGGGCAAGGTAGCCTCTTTGTGTAACCCTCTCAAGGTACAGAGCGAGGTGGAGAAGGGAAGAGAGTGGATCTGGAGTGGCAAAAAGAAGATATTTAGCACAGTTTCTTTCCTCTAAGGAAGAGCTCACAGACAAATGGAGAAGACATGTACACACATTCACAGTTTTAACAAAATATGTGAAAAGAACTGCCTCGCTAATCTCTTGCTATGTAACAAACTACCCCAAACATATGGCTTAAAATAATAGCCATTTATTTGCTCATGATTCTGTGGATTGGCACTTTGGGCTTAGCTGGTGGTTCTTCTGTTGATCTCACCGGGAGTCACTCATGTAGTTTCACTCTTCTGGTCACTCAACTGGGAGCTGGTTGGTCTAGAGGGCCTCAGTGGAGAGCTCATGTAGCTTCTGCGTGGTCTCGTCTTCCAGTGGGCTAGCCCAGGCTCCTTGCATAGTGACACTGCATTCCAAGAAGTTGAGAGAGGAAGCTGCAAAGTCTCTTTAAAGCCTAGATTCAAAAGTGGCACAGTGTCACTTCTGCCACTTGCTATTTTCTTTTTTTTTAAGATTTTCTTTCTTTATTTATTTGAGACAGAGAGAATGAGAGAGAGAGAGCACATGAGAGGGGGGAGGGTCAGAGGCAGAAGCAGGCTCCCTGCTGAGCAGGGAGCCCGATGCGGGACTCGATCCCGGGACTCCAGGATCATGACCTGAGCCGAAGGCAGTCGCTTAACCAACTGAGCCACCCAGGCGCCCCACTTGCTATTTTTAAAGCAAATCACAAAGTCAGCATAGAAAGAAAGGATGGGAAAATACATTGCATCCCTTGACTGAGGGGTGGCAAAGTTACATCGCACTAATGTGACACCATGTACAAAGTTAGCATAACCATCTTTCAATCAGTGAATGAACAAAGCACTTTCTGCACTGTATTGTAACTGTCTCTTTAAGTTATCAGGCTTCCCCAGTAGCCTGAGAACTCCCCAAGGACAGGAACTTTGACTGACTCATTACTTCGTTCCTTGTGCTCAGAGCAAGGTCTGGCACACAAAAGATATTAAGTGTGTGTTTGTTGAATGACTATGGCTGGGGTAGGGCTGGTGAATGAATGATCTACTTGTCCAAAGCCCTAGAGCCATAAGTAGTAATCTCTTTAAATATAAAGTTGACATTATAGAACACTTTCTCTACCTCATTGAGACCCTTCAAATATTGCAATCATCCATCAAGATCAAATTCAACCCCCACTTCCTCCATAAAGGCTTCCAAGGCTATTTCTTTTCTTCTGTTATAAACTCTCTGCAACTCTAATGGCTCTTAACCCACAGCTTGACATTTGCTTTTGAATTCTCTGACTGCTCCCTAGGGGTTCATCCCTAGTGGTAAGTCCCCAAGACTTAGAGAGCTATATCTTCTCTCCTAAAGGGCTTGTCACAGTGCTGGGACCACAGGATGTCAACCCTCCCTGAGTGGACCATGCACTCTGGGTGGTCTTAATCCTGTGAGGTGTGGAGAAGGTATGCAAGGAGCCATTCGTACCCTTGTCAGTGCCATGCACATGAGAGCCTCCTGGGTCTCTGGGACAGAGTGAGGCACAGCACTCTTCTGGGCTCTGGTCTATGGCCTGGACCTTTGTTGTACCAGGCTCTGGCCCCTGAGCTAACTGGGCATAGACCATTAATGACAGTGGAATGGTCTCCTCCCCCTAATAAGAGTCCAGGGCCTGAGTCATTTCTTGTGGACACGTGAGCCATCACTGCCCTTCAGACTTCTGAGGTCTCAGGAACCAAAGGAGCAGGTGTTCAATAGGCCCCCAAAGCAGAGCTCCTGGGTAACACATTTTACTTCAGTGTCATGAAGAACATGAAAGCAAGCTATCACATAAGGTTCTGAGTTCCTTCCCATGCTAAACCCTTTCCAGTCACTTCTGTTGCCCTCAGGATAAAGCCTAAGACCCTTACTATGGCAAAGTCTTCAGGACTTGGCCCACATACCCCTCCAGCTTCATCTCTCACCATCCCACCTTGACTCCAGTGTCCACCCAAACTGAACTATTTATTTTTTTATTTTTTAGATTTTATTTATTTATTTATTTCACAGAGAGAGAGATCACAAGTAGGCAGACAGGCAGGCAGAGGGAGAGGGAGAAGCAGGCTCCCTGCTGAGCACAGAGCCCGATGTGGGGCTCGATCCCAGGACCCTGGGATCATGACCTGAGCCGAAGGCAGATGCTTAACCATCTGAGCCACCCAGGCGTCCCCGAAACTGAACTATTTATTGTCCCTTGAATCACCATCTGCTCTCTCCTAGCTCAGGCCTTTGTGTATACTATTCCCTGTGCCTTAAATGCTGTTCCCCATCTTGCATCACAAACCCCTTTTCACCTGTCAGTGGGTTCTTCAAGACTTAATTCAGACATCACTTCCTCCAAGAAGCTTCCCTGAAGCCCTTAGCTGTGTTAGGGATCTCCTGTAGATGCCATAGCCATGAGCTTCTTCAGGATAGGGACTGGGACTTCATTTAGCCCAGATTCTGGCAGAGAATCCCTGGCAGTCAATGTTGAAGGAATAAACAAATGAGAGTGTTTGAGAGGCTGGAAAACCAACTAGCAGGAGTGTTATAAGGGTGAGTGCAAGGTTCTAGTATTTCTGAGGTCTAAGATTCAACAGTTCCCTAATTCTTGGCTGAAGATTCAGACTTGGGCTTCCCTCCATCTGGAGCCCACTCCCCAGCTAGCCACCTCCACCCTGTGCCTTCTGAGTGTTCTCAGGCAGGCAGGCACATACACACGTTCTGAACAGAACCGGGAAAGCAATTTACAAGAGATAATTGCTGGTCGATGTGTGCTTGGGAGCGGTGGTGAGCGCAGACTATTTCTGTCTGTGCGTCAGCCCACCCAGCTTCCTTCCTCCTCCACGGCCCTGAGGAAGGGGGCTCCCACTTCACAGGGAGGGCAGTTGGCTTCTGACCCCAGACGCAGACAAGCCAACCCCAGTGAGAGCCAGCTCTGAGGACTGATTGAATTCAAATGGGAGAACCTGAAACATGGGGGATGGGAAGAGCTTTATGGGGTCTGGGATGTATAGGTCAGCAAAGGTAACACACAGTCTGTTTTCTTTTCTTTTCTTTTGAAGATTTTTTTATTTATTCATTTGAGACACCGAGATACAGAGAGAGAGAGAGCATGAACAGGGGGAGAGGCAGAGGGAGAGGGAGAAGCAGGCTCCCTGCTGAGCCAGGAGCCCAATATGGGGCTCGATCCCAGGACCCTGGGATCATGACCTGAGCCTAAGGCAGACGCTTAACCATCTGAGGCACCCAGGTGCCCCACACGGTCTGTTTTCTACCTATTCCCACCCCATCTACACAGGCTCTTGCTGGGAAGTGCTACTGGACCTTTAGGGAACCTGCTCAGTGTGAGGTTTCCTCTTAATCTCTCTAGCTGCGTCCTCTTTGTTCTTCCTGGCCAGTCATGCTCAAAACGCTGGCCCAGACCAGCAGCAGCATCCTCACCTGGAACTAGTTAAAATTGTGAGGACTTACTCCAGACCTACAGATTCAGACACTGCAAGGTGGGAGAGAGGTGGGCCCAGCAATCCGTGTTTTAACAAGTCCTCCATCTGATTCTGATGCAGTCTGAAGTGTGAGAACCACTGCTTTAGGCCTCTGATGACCAACTGAGTTTTTACAATTTATAGATTACATCCCCCCATCAGACCATGAGCAGCCTAAAGTATTGGGGATTACTGGGCAGTATTGGATTCTTTGAATCTTCCTGGAAGGCTCAGCACAGGAAGTTTGGAGGAAAACTGAAATTTACTGATGGGGATACTAAGAAGAGAGACAGGATCTGTCCTGTGAAAGGTCATGAAGAACATTAGTGACTAAACCTCCCGTCTGTCACCCACTCGTGCCACGCACATACACACACACACAAGTACCCTAAGCTCTCTGTCCAAAAGATAACTTGCCGTTCCTGAGCTGGGTTAGGCTCGCTCTGATTTGGAACAAGTTGTATTCTGAACATAATGTCTTCTGACCTTGTCTCACCTGGAAATTTTGACTCATCTCTGATGAGTCAGCTCAGACATCACTTGTTCCTTGCTCAGACTGCATAAGGGGCCACCATTGGGCCCACTTCCCTTTTGTGTGCTCTCCTTGCCCTCCATGGGATCCCCTTGAGGGCAGCAGCTCTGGCTGATTCACTGCTGTTTCTGGTAATCCATGCAAGTCCTAGCATAGAGTAGACACTGCTGGATGTACGATAAGTGGACGAAGGTGCTGGGTTCAGAGCACTGAAAATAAAACACACACACACACACACACATAAAAGAGACATATATGCACACATACACATATGCACACACACACACTTATACACACAGAAGACAACAAATGAAGACCAAAACCAAGGTCCCTCGACTTCTGGCCTAGACCACTTCTGCAGGTGATTCACCCTGCCTTGCCACCCCACCGTGTGCCCTTGGCTGGCTCAGTTCCCATGCACAAATAAGAGTAGCCATTTTACTGTTGCCAAATCTAGCAGCAGGTCATATCACTGTCAGAAATGTTGAGAACTGCTTTCAGTGGCCACTGAGTCTCCTCAGTCCTTGCCTTGCACTTCCAAGGCAAAGCCTAAAGCTACTGCCAAAGTTAAGATGAAGAGAACAGTCAGGAGAGGGGTGGCAGTCAGCCATCCTACCCTAAGATTCCTTAACAATGAAATAATAACAATAACAATAATAATAATGATGATGATGATGATAGCTAACACATAGTGATTTCCATGAGCCAACACTGTTCAAGTACCTTGTGTGGACTAAGTAATTTAATCCCCCCACCAAACTCTACACTCCTTTTCATTCTGTTCCTCGTAGCAAAGCTGCAGAAGTAGGAGTCACCTGCCTCTGGGTCCCAGCCATCTTCCTTGGGGATCCTGAGTATACCTGCTCTGTGACAGGAAGACCAAGTCAGAGTTCTCTGACTCCCTAAGTTAGGTGAGGGGCTCCTCTGAGCCTCCATTGGCCCCAGACTCCCCCCTGATTGCCTGGAGTTGTTACTGACCATTTCCCTGGGATTCATGTCTAAACTCTCTTTGACCCACAATAGGCCAGGCAGAGCAGTATAACTGGGTCCAAAGCAGGGCCTGGGTGGGTTTGCTGGGAAAAGCCCTCATTTATCCCACCAGTCTCCAAAGTCCCTTTGCTCATCCCCACCCCCACCTTTCATGGAAAAGAGGTTCCAGAAAAGGATGGTGTAGAGGCATTTATTGGATGTTTATGGGGTTGGTCCACATGGGTCTAGATTTGGGACAAGGGACTCCTGAGGGCTGCCTGGGATGTCACTGGCAGTCATTGTGGCCATGAAGCAGTGCTGGAGCAGAAGTTTGGGGTCCACAGCCTGCTCCTCATTGCAGTCTAGCCATGGGTTCAGGAAGGGGTGATTCTGCCCAAGAAGGCTCACTCCTGGCACCTCCATCGAATTGCCTGCATTTTCACCTTGGCAGTC